CTCACCTGTGTTCATCTGGATAGGATCTTCGTGAGCTGCAAGTGATTTCTAAAAATGTTGCTCGCTCAAATAGAATAACCTCATCAGCCTCAAGCAGTTCACAGAGCTGTCGCAGACTTGCCTCTAAGGCCTCAATATTCGCAATAAGTTGATACACTATTTTTGACCATGCTTTGTATAGAGATGCGTCCCATATGGAAGTGGCAAAACAAGTGCAAACTATAGGATCAGTGTATTTCTCTAGTTCAGCTTTCCAACTTTGAAAAACCTGGAATAAAACAGTTTACTCGTCAATATACACTTGAAGGTATTTACCCCTTACGCAGGAATAGCAATACAAATATTTTAGGTTTATTTCAGAAAAAATAAATTTTAAAATAGCGCATAAGTCAATCCGTGGATAAATTATAACTTTGCAATAAAATAGATAATATATACTCATTATAAGGATTAATTCGGTGCGAGCATTCAAGCCTCATGAAAATAAATAGTATTCACCGTGTCCTTAGATTCGTTAGTAAGAAGATCTGTTTTATGGACAAGACAAAATATTTTTGCTTCAGGAGAATTTTGACCTATGGCTTCCAGACATGACCGATAGTTTGCCAGATCGTGCTGGTGATCATTGGTCCCAACATCAAATACGTATATTAGGACTTCCACGTTTCGAAAAATATTTTCTCTTTGGTTGACGAAGTAGCTTTCCATAAAACCTTCTTGTCCACCACAGTCCCATAAATTCAAAACAAGTCCACCAAGAAGACGGAGATGAGTGTGTTCGACGTCCACTAAGGAAAGTTAGTTAATAAGTGCAAACTTGTTGGCCCTAATCTTCTCGTGTCTCTAGCGATATAATTGGCAAATATAATGCTGCGCATACTGGTTTTACCAGAACCAGATTTCCCCATAAGCAAAACCTGATAAAAAAATCAACAGCAAAGCAAAGTACCTTCTTGCGCATGATGAATGAAGGATAGACAGGTTGAATGTCTCAACGAAAAAAAAACGATTAAATAGCGCATTACAAGTATTTTTAATATCTTAAATATGAGGAAACTATTATTAAACTGTATTAAGTTGATTTATTTATGTTTGATATATTTTAATAGTTTGCTTTATTGTCTTGCACACCAGCTCTTTCAGCTTTAAGCGTTCGTTTTGATTGCCTGTCAGCCCGTTTGTGTACTCCTCTTCGGAATTTGGTAAACTACCTAGTATAAATGGAGCTTCAAGCCATTATCGATGCATTAGAAGTTATGCTTGACCCCTCTATAACTAATGAAACTCGTATTAATGGATACAGAGTAAACCAGATGTTATTTACCTTGTATAGATTACCAACGAATACATGCGAAATTTTTTTAAAATTGATGATTTGATAATTCTCTGTGCATCACACCGGCATCCCGTCGTTGTACTCTTTGGGCTTAGATGCTTAGAACATACGGTTAAGTGCGTTTTGTAAAAGTTTAATGAGGGTAGGCATTCATGGAGTTCCACTTCTCCACATGTCAAAGCTACTATTAAATCAAATCTTCTTAATCTCGCTTCTGAAGTAAGCTTTATGCTTTTTATCTATCCCTAGTTTCATCTTCTTTCTTGTTTTAAAAGCGAAGGACGAGTGGTGAGCCTAATTCTTTCTCAAATATTCGTCCATCTTATTAAATGTGAGTGGCCTCAGAAATGGCCTACAATGATCGAAGAGTTCATTCGTTTGGGTACTCTTGGGGTAACCGTGTTACTATTAACTTGGACAGCCTGCCCAAGCCGAATTACTCTTTAGCACACTTTTACGTCTTTGCGAAGATATTGTTCATTACCAAAATGTCCCCTTGATACGACGTCGGGAGATTATCTGTGGGATTACGGACAACATTGAAACTATTTTCTCGTTTACTCTTCAAACCATCCTTCACTTTCATATTTCGGTAAAATAGATTATTTTTTTCCACGCATATAACAAAACATATTTTTATGTGTCCTTTAATTAATAGCCTACAAAATCTGAAGAACAGGCCTCTGTGGTTCGCGAGGGACTTTCATTTCTTACGGGGATTGTTGATTGGTGTCGGATCGATTATTTACTGGGTTGGAGCTCTGGCATCAGCGAACTAACTACATTGCGCCTCTTCATATATCTTTTAAACTACCCCTGTTTGCGGGCTGAAACAATGGAACTTATTTTAACCCTTCTTCATAGAAAACCCCAAGC